TGTGTTCATTGTGTGTTGTGTGGGTGGTGTGTTCTCTGCCCATTGAAATGTACATACGTTGGGTTCACCTGGTGTTGTGTGTATGGTGGGTTCCCTGCAAATTGTATATAGGTTGTTTTTTTCTACGGAATTCGTATTTATTCAAGGGGGGGGGGGGTGCGTCGGGTTGTTTTCTCTTCTTGCTGTTGCATTTTGTTGTGTTCTTGTTGCCGTTCTTGTTATTGTTGAAAATTAGTGAGGCACACGCGCGGTTACGGTATAAATTCATTTTTATTGTCATTTTGTATGTTGGCAGCCGGGACGGCTGCGAGCTATGCGGGGGGGGGGTGATGTAGGGGTGTTAAAGAGAGGGCCCGTTATGCATGGCAGTCTATGGGAAACAAACACAGTGGGCGGGGCTACGTGTGTGCACGGGGAGATGCCCTCTGCGACGTCCGAGCCAGACACCCTGGGGGGGGCTGGTTCGGCGTTATGATCCCCCGGGGCCCCACCCCTCAAGGAGGGGTTGGGTATAAAAGGGGACGTTATAGGGGCTCGAGTCAGTTATGTTAAAAGCTAACCAGAGAAGACTGAAGACGTCTTAGATAGAGCCCTGGACTCCCCTCGTTCGATGTCCTTATCAGGGCCGAACAGGACTGAGCCAGCGGCGTGGTCCCGAGAGCCAGAGCCGGTGCTCTTCTAAGAGCTGGTCTGGGACTCCGGGTACCGGGCCCGACTTACCAGTGTCGGGCCAAATAGCCTCCCCTAGCCCATTAGTGGAGGACTGAGAGGCAGGCTAGGATTAGCTAGGAAGTGTATCCTTAGCTAGTCGGGTGAGGGGGCCGATACCCCCTCCAGTGCTGTATGCCACGAACGAGTTGTGTAAAATAAATATACGTGTGCCTCCACCTCGGTGTCAAGTGTCTTCACCGGTACTTCACTTGCATGCAACTGACCAATCATTCCAGTTGCAGGATCCTCCTGAAACGCAGTCTTGAGACTCGGGTGACGTTTTCCTGGACAACATTAAGGCGATGTACTGCATGCATACAATTGCCCCGTTTTGTAGATTCAAACAGAAGCATTGTCCTATGCAAGATATAAGAATTGTCCCATCTGATATAACCCTCAATGTCTCATCTAATACAGAACCCGTGTCTCATCTAATACAGAACCATTGTCTCATCTGACACAACACTTGTCTCATCTGATACCGAACTCGCATGTCATCTGACACTGAACATCTAACAAGATACATCGTCCTATCGGGCAGAGCGATCTCGTGTAAACCAGTAAATATATTGTCCGTCATTATTCGATTCAATAAACCAATAAAATCCGGATTCAAGCCCCGCACGATTAAACCAGGTTGTCGCGTTGACCGAGGGAATGACGATGGTCACTGATTGCACGGACCGTACACACTACGACCGAATCACACCGTACGATGATCGCACTTTGTTGCCAGTTAGAATGTGAGGAAAGCCTCAGTTTCAACTTATTAGGAAGCCAATTGAGCCGCGTGCACTTTGACACCGACATTGAACACCTCATTTGTTTCGAGCTGCCTGCTTTGTTGCGTTTTAGTTGTTGTAGTCCTAACCCCGCACCTCCGATTAGCACGGCTGGCTACGTACGGTGCGAAAGAAGTTCAACATACATGCACACTGTCTCGAGGAGGAAGAGGGGGGGCGCTTTAGACAGATGTTTAATGAGCGCAGTCGACTAATGGCTAAGAGAGACGTAGTAATCAGTAGAAACCCATACTACCCCAACCAAAAAGACCTCAACGACTTGAACAGAGATCTTGGTCTCACCAAGTCCAATGCCGAAGCTTTTGACGTCTAGGCTCAAGCAGTGGAATTTGTTGAATGAAAGTCGCAGATCAGAGGAAGCGTCACCAACCTTTTTGCAGCTTCTTCACCCGTCAAGATGGGCTCTGCTTCTGCCACAATGTGACCAGTTTGTTCGAGGCAATCGGAATCGCCTGTAACCAGAATGAGTGGCGCCTCTTCATTGACAGCTCAAAGCCGTGCTGCTCTATAACGGTAACAAGTACCCGTCTCTTTCCCTGGCTCACTCGGTGCACCTCAAAGAAGAATTACAACAGCATCAAGACTTTGCTGGACGCCTTGAAGTAGGATGAGTACGGCTGGGAGGTGGCATTCCTGATTTTTGGGAGGGGGGGGGATTAGGAGGGGGGGGGGGGGATTTGGGGAGGGGGCGATAAGAGAGAGGCGGTGGAGTGGAGGCAAAGCTCCTACAGATGTTGGGTTCGAATACATCACAGGGTGTTTGTGTGGACGCGCTGTAGCCGGGGTGACAAGGAACACGGTGGATTTGTATTATTCTTTATTTCGGTTGTTCATCAAAGAAAGCCACACTGAGTCTCGTGACTCCTTTGGAGGAGGATCTTGCCAGGTTAGGGCAGTCGCGGGCGCATGATTGCTACGCGTATGCATACATGTTGAACTTTTTTCGCACCGTGCGTAGCCAACCGTGCTAATCGCAGGCTCTGTGCAATCCCAATTGAGTAACTTCAGCTTACAGCGTCTCTCGACTGATCGACGCTGCCTTGCCATGTGATTACACCTTCCATGTGATTACAGATGCAACTTTAACAGTAAACATATATTCAGCTGACTTACACCACTCACCAGCCACTCACCACTCACACTCACCAGACACCCACGGACTCACCTCTCGCATAGCGGCATTCATCAGATAATCAGCGGTCGCCCGGTAGACTCAAAACTCACTGGACATGTATGTACGTTGAACTTCTTTCGCACCGTACGTAGCCAACCGTGCTAATCGGAGGTAGAGGGGAAAGGACCAAAAAAACGCATAAGCTGTTCTAAAGAAATTCGTTTTGAATCTAGACTTTAAAATGCATAGCTTCAGTGGCTTCCGAACATCGGAGGGAAGAACGTTCCAGACGGCCTCTAGAAGCACATCTCACCTGACACTCACCACTCCTCATAGACACGTGTCACCCATGACGTTGCCATTTAGCCCGTATTGCTCTACGTCTGATTAATAGTCATGTAACTTAATTTCTATTGCACCCTTGATCGGTCCAAACATAATCCGCACGAGCCGTCTTGCGCTCCGGGTTATTTATGATTTAATATCGATTTATGTTTGTGCAGTTCATTTGCGATGTGCCGTGTGACACGGCAGTTGTTTTCGCGCTCATTTCTCATCGCTTCCTCGCTTCAGTGATGGTGGTGACCCGAGGTCACTCTCACGAATGCGACTCGCCCGTGGTTTCTCGAGGTCTCTCCTGGGGCGCCACAGTGGCGAGATGTTAACCACCTCGCCTAATATGCAGGAGGTCATGGCTTCGATCTCCTGTATATTTGGAGTTTGCGTGTCTCTCTCCCGTGGTTGTGTGGATTTGTGTTGCTTTGTTTATCCAGGTTCAAGAGCCCAATGGCTCACAGGGCTATACCAAATACATGAAACTGAAAAAACTGAAATATCCTCCTCCGGTGTTTCCCTCCACCCTTTAGAATCGACGTTCAGAGTATTTGGCTGCGATAAATGTCCACGTGATAAGCCGCTTCGTTGGGCTATCATTTGTGCCAAGTTCGCTTCTGAAAGAGAACTATGTAGCTCGGTGGGCCTTACCTGGTCAAATAAACATTTGTTTCATCAACTTGACTTGCCCGATGCCCTCCACGCGCAATAGCGCGGTTTTTCCGGCAGGCGGCGCGCCACTAATTGCGGTCACCCGTTGTGAACGTTAAAGGCGCAGCCCTGCAATTACTGGTTCGCGCCCCTGCCAGCAGAAGGGCCTCCACCAGCAGGAGCTCTGGAGAGCTGTAAAGAATCCCCCTTCCCCACTAAGAGGGTATCTTTCGGCCCACTATTTCACCGCGCTGGCGAGATGTTCAGAACCTCAACTCTGGTATGCAGGAGGTCGTGGGTTCGATCGCGACCCTGACTCCGGCTGTATATTTGGAGTTTGCGTGCCTCTCTCCCGGTGGTCGCGTGGATTTGTCTCCCGGATCTTCCGGTGCTTCGCTCCGCATTAACAAACAACGCGCGTTTCGAGTATTTGGCTGCTACGTGGATGCGCCACGTTGATGAGCGATCAATCGTGGCCAAGTCGCTTCGGAAAAAGAGAAGCACAGAGACAATACTAATCCATACCGATAACAGTGATGTACAACCATTTGTCATTGCAACGTTTATCCTATGGGCAGACTTTGCCCCTTCCATACCGATGTGGAATCTTTTTTCTTTCGGTTTTGTTCCACCACCGTCTCAGAACTGCCGACGGATACGGGCAATCACCCAAGATGGATCAAGCTGGGAGAGAACGCTGTCGGATGTTGTATTCATATATATATATATTTTTAAATATTGATTTCAGTTTATCGCCTCCAAATTATTCACGAATGCCAAAGAACGCGCAGCCCCGCGACCCTGCCGCCCACGCCCAACACTCTCCTCTCTCCTCCCCCCACTCCCTCCCACTCCATCCTCCCAGTGGAGTAGCCATCGAGTCGTGTGCAGGCGGTGCAACTGCACCAGGGCCCACGGGTTGGAGGGGTTCCAAACAATTCCCATCCACTCCACCCTGGACGGAAGGGGCCCATGCCAAGCACGCTACGTCACTGCCCCCCGCCCCCCACTCTTTAACCCCCACCCCAAGCATGTAACCTGTTGTGCGAGGAGTCATTTGGGAATGGGGCAGCATAACCAAAGAGACTCAGGGAGAGCCAAGGGAGAGAGAGAGAGAGCCGATACATCAATGGAGAGTGGGCAGGACAGACGAGAGATAGAGGGACAGAGAGAGAGAGAGGGAGACAAGGGGGAGAGAGTCAAGAGCGATCGTTTAGAAAGGCAATTGAGGACGTGGGAAGAGTCAAGAGGAAGCACGTGGGAGAGTCAAATGGGATTTGGGGGAGACGGCAATCCACCCACTCCACAATCACCCTTCATCCCCCCCCCCCCCGGCAAAAAAAAACCCAATGCCCCCTGTGCGCCGGAGACAAAATGCTGTCTCATTGGCCGGGCCGGGCATTAAAGGCAGGGCTTTCCACAACCGCCTCCCTCTAACCACGCGTCCCCGGCCACCTTTAACCGCCGATGCCCGCCCACTCATTCCCACTGCACTTACTCGCCGCCGAGAGCAGCAGCAGCAGCATCAGCAGCTGCTGCAGCCAGCCAGCCCGCCAGCCAGCCTCCTTTGCACCGCCCGTGCCCGTGCCGTGCCGCCCACACGCACCGGGAGGGTGAGGAGCAGTCGGATCCAGGAGGAGCAAGCAAGGAGGTCGAGTCGGGAAGGAGGGGGAAGAAGCGGACATCAGCAGCGCTTGTTTTCTCCCCTCGACTGCCACTCTGCGACAAACAGGAACTCGAAGGTGCGACTGAGTACGCGCGCGCGTGCGTGCGTGTGAAAAGTGTGAGTGTCACTGTGCATCGAAGTGTCGGCGTGCGCCGTGCCGGCCTTCGTCAGTGCTCGCTAACAGCACTTGCCCCAAAAAGTATGTTGAGACTACACGGGCGAGCTTTGCGTTTGTCTCTGTCGATGCCGGTGGCGCTACTTGCACAGAGACAGGCGTGTACACACACGCGCACACGCGTGCATACGCATGCACACGTGCACGCGTGCATCTTCCGTAGACTCTTGGGGCAATGCGTGAGCGCCTATTAAAGACGTTAAGCGAGGGTGTTTTTTTTTGCCACCACGCTTGCCCGCCTTTGTCTCCCCGCGGATATAGGTCGACTACGGCTGAGTCGATCTATATGCGACGGCGAATGTCACTGATGTTAGCTGTGTGACCGGGGTATCGAACTCATGTCGCCGAGCTCGTAGGGCGCAGTGCGCTCATCATTGCGCCACTGCTGTGAACAACGCATTCACACGCTCACTCACATACACAGCAGCAAAGACAAAGATCCACCGTGTAGACATTTAACAGAACTGTTGGGGCATGTTCTGTGAGCGAGCAGCTATGAAGAAAGGCTCGGAATACGAATGGGCGGGTGGCCAACACGTCGCTCAGCCGCCTTTGTCTCCCCAGTACTGAGGGTTACTCACCGGCATCAGGCATTCATTTGAGGCCGAATCGACCAGGGGGAGGCTCAGGAGAAGTTCACATATCGCCACTGTTAGTGGTCGTGAGCGGGAATCGAACTCGGGTGGCCGAGTTCCAAGGTGGAGTGCGCTGACCACTGTGCCACCGCTCCCCATTGCTGCTCGTACACACACGTACGAACGTATACATATGCGCACGCATGCAAACACACGTACATACACGCACACACACACACGTATAAGCATACCTACATATACCTACACATATACCTACACGTGCACACCCACCATTGGTGGTAGGGTTCAGCTCTCACAATGCAAGGTCTGCGCGCGGATATCCTGTTGTAGGAATTTTGTTTGAATTTTGTAGGAATTTTCCAGCGGTTGTCCTATGGATAGACTTGCCCCGACATATGAATGTGGAATTTCCCTCGCCGGCTTCGAGCCGTGAATAGAGGTGAGCGCACCCTAACCTACTGCGTATCTGTGAAAAACTCCTGGACGTCCATGAAAAAAGAGCTTACAGCTCGTCGGATACCTCCGGTATGAATACATTTTCTCATTCTGATTGAGCAGGAGACGCCTTGCCGAGCACGCATGCGGTGACGAGAGGCATCCGGTAGCAGTTCTCAGGACTGACGGAGCGGTTGCTTGAGAGCTGCAGTTAGCGAGCACCTATTGTGGCCTCAACGGGCGCGCGCACGTGGTGGGGGTGGTGTGGTCAGGTTCGCGGCGGGGGTCGCCTCTGTCTCGCGAATGCCGATGCTGAAACAACTGATTGCTCGTGTGAGGTTGAGTTGGCATTCACGAGTGGTCGTCGCCGGAACCCGCACCAGATATGACGAGCCGCCGATGTTGCCCCGTGTCTGGGGATCGAACCCAACTCCCAGCGTCTGAAGCGCAGTGCGATCATCGCAGCACCGCCGCTACCCACATGAAGACAGCGATAAAGATTCCGCCACGTATACCCTGAACAGGGCTGTTTGGTGCAAGTGCTGCTAGCGAGTAGCACGCGCCTATGAACGTCGGTACGACACTCGAGGTGGTGGTTGTGTGGCCAGATTCCACGCCCGGCTGCCTTTGTCTCCCCGGTGGCGATGTTTGCACACCGCCACCATGTACCCACTTTGAGGCTGAGCCAACCTAATGGGAGGCCAACGACCAGTTCAGATATCCGCCACTGATATTGGTCGTGAGCGGGAATCGAACTCAGTTCGCCGGCTTCATAGCGCCACCGCTCCGCACACACGCGCACACGGAAACATGTCAATGCAGTCCACATCCACTGACACGTAGCATACGCGTATGTAAATACACGGACAATACGCAGACCTATGCAACACGCACAAGATTTTACAAACTGTTGGCCGGTGCGGTGATGTTTTGGCACCACGCCCTCGGCCGCCTTTGTCTCCCCAGGGCTGACTTAACGCAGCGCACACGAGGCACTAAATGTAAGGTTGATCTGACCCAGGGATAGACTAAAGAGAAAATTCAAATGTGAATTGTCAGTGATGAATTGTTTGACGCACACACACACACGCGATTACATCGCAAGGTGTGTGTGTGTGTGCAGCGGTTAGCGCGCTGCGCTACGAACCCAGAGACCCGAGTTCGATAGCCGCTCACGGCCAACACCGGTGACGATTATCTGAACCGGTTCTGGGCCTCCCCTAGGTCGACTCAGCCTCATGTGACCACCTGGTGCGATGTGTAAACAAACATCGCCACTGGGGAGACGAAGGCGGTCGGGCGTGGTGTTGGCCTCCTACCCCCTCGTGTGCCGTGCCGGCCTTCATAGGTGCTCGCCAACAGCACTTGCCCCAACAGTCTGTTAAAGGCTATGCGGGAGATCTTTGTCTTTGGTATGTTAAGTTGTGAAATGCTTGTGTATAAATGTTGCGGCTGATCTGTCCTAGTTTCCACATATTATCATTTATTTGCCTGTTACGCGTTAAGTAATTATATTCGTGGCAATAGCCTCTGCCACTGTCACCCATACAGCGTGTGACTGTCTGGAATATAAACGCATTGTGTGTTTCTGTGTGCGAGTGTTGGTCATTTATAGCATTTATTTGTGGTTAGCGCGCTGCACTCCGAACCCGACTAACCCGAGATCGATTCCCGATCACGGCCAACACCAGTGACGGATTATTATCTGAACCAATCCTGGGCCTCCTCTAGGTCGACTCAGCCTCAACTTAGTACCTGGTGCCGATTTTAAACAAGACAAAGGCGTTGTTGTTGCTGGCCACACACCCTCTCGTATGCCGCGCCGGTCTTCATAGGTGCTCGCGAACAGCACTTGCCCAAACAGTCTGTTACAGGCTATACGGGGGGGTCTTTGTTAGTCACAGTGCGTCATCAGATGTTTACGTGTGTGAGTGTGTGTGTTAGCGTGTTTCACTTTGCCCAAATCTCGGTTAAGGCTATACCGGGGAACTTTGCCTTTTTGTCTTTGCGTCCGTGTGTCGGGGTGTGTGTGCGTGCGCGTGTGTGTTAGTGTGCGTGCGCACGTATCACTGTGTCTATGTGCTAGTATTTGTGTGTAAGCGTGCGTGCGCGCGTGTAATCTATGAGTTCACATTTGTCAGACACGGGATCGGTGGAGGTTAGCAGTACAATGCTACGAACCCCCCCCCCCCGCCCCCCCCAACTTAGTTAGATTTTCGGGTCACAGCTAAGATAATTATCAGTAGCGAACGATATCAGAATCTTCGTCGTTTTTGCTCGAGGATCAAAGGTCAAGTTGTCATATTCAAAGCTGTTCATGCCACCGTGGTATTCGCCAACGGTGGCGACATGTTAACTACCTCGCCTCTCTATTTGGAGTTTGGCACTTCGTCAGTTAGACTGATGGCCTTAATCTAAGTTGTCTTGTGGTTGTTGTTGTTGTTTGACTTGCATCCCACTGGGATTTTTTTCTCAATATTTTGCCGTCTTTTCTTGGATTTTCTGTTTGCACTCAGTCACATATTCACTTTAAGATGTTTTTTGTTCATGTTTTTGTTTTTTTGTTGTTGCGGTTGCACCCGATTCAAGAGCCGATTGGCTCACAGGGCTCTATACCTAATACATGAACTTGAACTTGAAGAACCATTGTTTGTGGCAAGGTCGCTTCTGAAAGAGAGCTTCCCAGTGAGCCTTACCTGGTAAGATGAAACATAAACAAACATACGGGACCTGTTCCAGCCAAGCATCCGTTACGATCATTTACAACAACGCATACTTGGGAGGGTTTTGTTTTTTCCCCCCGCACATCAGTTGCATTTCGACTTCAGTGCAGGCATCACATGTCGAGTAGCCAACGATAGCACCCCCCCCCCACCACCGCAACATTTTGAGACATCACACGGAGTTTCAACCACTCCAATGTTCCCTTGTTCGCCCAGGGTTGGGCTGGGGGTAGTGGTGGGGGTGGCTGCTCACTCAAAGCCCCACGTCAAACGCTCTGCCGTTTCCCACATTTGAATTCGACGCGGCGGTGAGCAGAACCGGAGACACGAGGCAGGAGGCAGAGGGAACCCTCATTGGGTCATTTTTGGTCACGTTTCAGAGGTAATTGATTTTTTTTGTCTGTGTTGAAACTCGCGGCCAGGAAAAAAACGCTTCACTGTAATGTGCCCCTGTGCGTGTCATCGTGTGTGCTCGCTAACTGCACTTGCCCCAGGAATCTGTTGAGGCTTTATCCTTGTGATTGTGTATTTGGGTCGAGCGGTGGTGCAGCGGTTAGCGCTACGCTGCGCCACGACACCCGGCCACCCGAGTTTGATTCCCGCTCAACACCGGTGACGATTATCTGAACCGGTCCTGGGCCTCCCCTAGGTCGACTTAGCCTCAAATGAGTGCCTGGTGCGATGTATGCATGTCGCCACTGGCGGCCGCGCGTTGTTTCTCGGCCACCTATCCCCTCTTGTACTGTGCCGGCCTTCATAGGTGCTCCTCGCTAACAGCACTTGCCCTAACAATCTGTTAAGGCTACACGGGGGATATTTGTCTTTGAATATCAGTTCAAGTTGTAATAGATGTCTATGACAGTGGCTGGCTGGAAATATAATATTGAATGATAAATAAGCAAGCGTTGTGCATCACCACGAGTAAATAAACTAAAAACATTAGTCTGCCAATCCGATGGGTCTTCTTGGAGTGGCTCTTGTTGAGACACGCAGACTCGTCAATAACCAGAGTGGCCTTGCAATGGGAATTATATAATAGGCAATGTTTCGGGCAATGGTCCTTCTTCATAGCACGGATAGCATTTCTTATTGTGCTTAGTTCGAATCCCGACCGTGGGTAACATCAGCAGCGAGTGATATGTGAACC